CCCGCCCACACTAACCCTGGGATTTGCTTGCTTGCTTGAGTTTTGTTGTATGTATTAGTTAGGGTTCTCCAGAGGAACAGAACAGACAGGATATATCTGTAAAGATATATAAAATTTGCAGGGGGGGATAGTTTTCTGTGTAATTGTATAGATATACAGATATTTACAGATATATCCTATTTGTTCTCTTTGGTTCTATATATAGATATCTATCTCTATCTAGAATATATGTACATGATGAGATTTATTTTATGAATTGGCTCCCATCAATAGGGTCCGACGATCTGCCACCTACAAGCTGTAGAACCAGGAAAACCAGTGGCGTGATTCAGTCTGAGTCTGCAGGTTAGAGAGTCTGAGGGCAGAAGACGGATGGTGCAACACAGGCAGAGAGATCAAATTCACCTTCCCACCACCTTCTTGCTTTATTCAGGCCCTCAGAGGATTGGAGTCTGCCCACCTGCATTGGGCATCTTCTTTACTCAGTCTACAGATTCAAATTCTAATCTACTTCCAGAAACACCCTCACAGACATGCCTAGAAATAATGTTTTACCAGCTTTCTAGGCATCCTTAGCCCAGTCAAGTTGACATATAAAATTAACCATCACATTGTTGATGTTTTTATTTTTTTTATTACAAAAACATTAGCAGGGGAAGATGGATTTACTTTCAGAAAGCAAGTCTACTTGAATTGTGACATTTCTGTGCATCCATTTCCCACTGACTGTCTTGATTCCTCAGAGAAACCCAGCTTTGCAGTGAGATGATAGGTATGGTTCTTCTGGGGAAAAAATGAAGCTTGAAGATCAGAAAAGAAAGAAAAAAAACCCCAACTCCACCTCTACCAACAATTTGAGACAAAATAAAATCTTTTATGGTATCAAAGGTGCCTGGGATGTCAGGGGCTGACCTTCTGGAACAGTTTCCTCTTCTATTGTTCAGACAAACACATTTATTACCCTGGTGCTTCTAACAATCAGTCAAGATTAAGTCAAATGCCAGCATAATTTCTCTTTGCCAAATTGCTTTTTCCATTGCAATTAGCCTTTTTAAGGGCCTTACCAAATAACAAATGTGTGAGCAATTCCCATTCTCCCCTTCCAATTAAAACTCAGCTAAGAAGTTTTATCGGTAATAATTGTTAAAGATGAAAAATACCACCCTCACTCAGTCATCAGTTTATCCATGTTTTCTTAGATATCCTTTAAACCAGGTGTAGGATTAAGAAAGGTTAATTTTTTATAGTATGTGTTATATAATAAAAGAATAGATTATTTAAACTAAAAACAGTTAAGCTGTCTGGTTTATCCTAGTTGGGATCCTTTATAAAAGCTCTGAGTTTGGCCAACACCTATTTGTCCTCTAAAAGCGTTTTAAAGCTGAGCCTGTTACTGCTCTCAGAAACCCATTTCCTTTTTTTTTCCTGGGCACAAAGACTACATTTTCCAGCCTCCCTTGTCGTTAGGGAGCCCATGTGACTGGTTTCTGGGCAAAGGAAGGTATACTGAAGTGCCAAGCCCATGAAAAATCTCCCACAAGAGAATTTCCTGTTTCTTTCCTCTGCCTGCTAGAGATGTCCATGCCCAGGCAGCCTTGGCAGCCTTGAATTGAAAATAGCTGAGCTTCCACCAGCCTGGCTCCTGAAGGAACAGAGATTATCCTCCTGTATCCTCACCTCCCACATTCTAGAACCATCTCCATTTGCTCACTGAGAAAAGATGAGCTGCTATATATGAGTCATTGTAATCTGAGTGTTAGCAGTTAGCTTACCCTAACTGACTTTTCTTGACCCAACTAGCTTTCCTTCTCACCATGTTAGAAGTTTCAGCCAAACCTTCCCATGGCACCTGATCATTGAACTTCTCACCCTTTATCCTTATTGTTTATCTGTCTGCCTCCCCAGATATACCCGACAGCTTTATGAAGGTGTGGACTACATTTCCCTAGCTCGCCATATGTCCCCAGTGTCTAATATAGTGCTTGGCACATAGTAGGTCCTTAATAAATATTTTATGTGTGAAATTAATGTGTTAGGTGCATGGACTTTGCCTTTCTTTAGGCTTTATAATAGCAAACTTGGATGCTGGACAATCTTTAAAAATAAGAATATCAGGGTGCAAAAAGCTTGTACAGTTCTGAATCGTGTTACTCTTGAATGTTTCTATAAATCTGATATCCAGTGGATGACTACCAGTCTTCTTTGCAAATCTTCTTAATGCTGACAGTAGTAATATATGTTTCTAATGAACAATGAACAAAAAATATAGGAGTTTTTACTAACTTTGTTTATTTAATGCCATTCTCTTTCATAAAAACAAGTGTGATAGGTTGAAGATGTCTGGAAATTGTTTGCTCTTTCTCCCATTGAGAGGCAGAGTGTAATTCCCCTCTCTCTGAACCTGGGCTTGCTTCAGTAATAGAAAGCTGTGGACATTACAGGGGAGAAGTCATAAGACTTACAGCTTCTGCTGTGTTTCTTGGAAATCTTGCTTATGGAGCCCTGCACCTCCATATGAGAAGTCTGACTCTCCTGAAACCACCTCGTTGAGAGGCCACATATAGGGGGTCTGGTTGATAACCCCAGCTAAACGCTGCCTTCCAGCCATCCCTGCCAAGACATTAGATGTTTGTGAAACCATCTTGGACCCCCCCCTCCCCCAGAAGAGGCCATTCACAGACTGAATTCCACTGAGTGACCTCAGTCAGTGTCACATGGAGCTGAAGAAAAAGTTCAGCTGAGCTCTGGCCAAAGTCCCGCCCTGCAAAATCATGGTATATAATAAAGTGGTTGTTACAAGCCACTGTTTTAAGGTAGTTTGTTATGTAGTAAATGATAACAATGAAATGAATTATTTCATTTCCTTTTATTTGTCCAATAATATTTGTTTTAAAACTTTTAATTTTGACAAGTTTAGTTGATCATTTGCTGGCTGCCAAGTAAATTTCAGTTCTTCTGTCTGTATCTGCATCTTGCAATTGAACAAGAGATGGTTGGGACACTGAAAGAAACAGCCTGTTAATTTTGGGCCATAAACCTTTATATTTTTAAGCAGTAATTGGTAATATACATTGGCAATACATGCAATGTAGTCTCCAGTTTAAAAAAATACTTCTGGGATTCAGGGAGGTAAATTAAGTTGGCTTAAAGATTATATATCAATGTGTGCCAAATTTTACTTTATGTTAGTACTATGTTCCTTTGGGAATCAGTCAGTATGGCAAAAGACAAAATTATACACAAGTGAAAAATTTTAGGCTCCATTTGAAAGTGACACTAACTGAAAAGTAAAAATGAAAGGAAACTAAATTTTTTAAATAGGAAGTTTAAATTTTGCCAAAGGTCACTTAGCTGGTAAGTGGTGTGCTGGATTTGACCCAAATCTGACTAATCCAAAGCTTGTGTGTGTTCTTTCTTCTCCACAAAGGCTATTCATCTGTAAGACTCCAGGTCTTTCCAAAAGTGGCTCCCAAAGAACCAGGAAATAGTTATGGCAGCCATGCAGAGTTGCTTTGTCAATATGTTCATGTATGCACTACATCCATTAATGAGTTGTATCCACATAAAAATATATCAAATCACCATATTCTACACATTAAACTTATACAGTGTTGTACGTGAATTATATCTCAATTAAAAAAAATAGCTTGGATGGTGTCAAATGATCTGGGTTTCAATCTTGGCTTTGTTTCTTCCTGGCAAGGTGAGCCTCCTAGTTTATGCCTGAATTTACTCATTTGTAACCTGGACCCGCTCTGCCCCAGTCTGTTGCTGTCAGCATTAAATGAATTAATAATGTAAAGTACTCAGAACCATGCTTGGTGACAGTAGATAGAAAGCGCTATATAAATATTAGCTGCTGATATTATTACTGTCTTCCTTAGGCGTTTAACTGAAAGGCAATGGAGAGGACAATTAGAGTGAAACAATTCAGTCTTCGAGGCATTGTTGCACCACAAAGCATATGCGTTCTGTTACAGGTGGTGAGTTACCTGACATAGGGCTGGGGCTTGTTGGTGGGAACTTCATGCACATGTTCTTTATGAGGATGATCTTAAGGTTAATGGCTTAGGTCAGGAGCCAATAACCTTTGATAATAAGCCTGAGTCATCACTATACAATTTTTATGAAGATAGAAAACCAATAACACATATGCAGTCTCTTGGCAGGGCCAGGACATCGGTTCCTTTATTCCTCTGATACCTAGTCACTTTGGTAAGGCAGAAGACCCAGAGGGGACCATCTCTCTGGACCAGTTTCTATTCACTCTACAAAAATGAGTAAGACCCCACAAATCTAGTTGGAAACACAAACTAGAGGGCGCACTGATGAATTCAACGATTATTTACTCACTACCATGCATCACATAATAAGCTAGATGTTGTGGAGAGTGAACAAAACAGACAAAAATCCCTGCCTTTATGGAGCTGAAATTTTAAAGAGAAAGATAAAGCAGGTGAATAGCTAGGGAGTGATCCTGTGGGCTGGTGGACTGGTTTTACTGAGATAAATACAAGGAGGTTGGGTAGCGGCCTTTCTACGGACATGCATATGGGGGCCCAAGGGAAAGCCCTGCCTCTGTCTCAGCCCTGCTAAAGGCAGGAAGGAAGCTCAATACTCTTGAGTGCAAAGTTCTCCGAGGGCAGAAATATTATTTTCTCTCATTCATTGTTCTCAGTCTAGCAGAGGGCACTACTCAGAGAAGATGGTCCCTAACTGCTGACTGAAAGAACACAATGTTCAAAGTCAGTCTATCAGCGAGCAATGAATTCTTGGGTACCAACTATGCTCAAGGTCACTCATCGGCATAAACTGGGCACCTGGCATATATATGAGCGATGTGGGGCCCTGCACTCAAGGTGCTTGGAATATAGAATCAATAAACGTCAGGACTAAGTGTGGGCCCAGTTACATCACGAATCCGCTCAATCTTGGGCGGGGCACCAGGGGCCTCGGACTGGGCCAGTGGGGCCATGAAGCCACAGCGGCAGTCCACATCCCACTGTTGGGGGCGGGCGAGTGCGGCCTCCGGGAGGAAGGGCGGTCTCAGGCTGCTGAGATCCCGACCTGTCCCGGCGCGACCCAGGCTTTGCATCCAACCAGTGCGCGGGGACTTTGGCCAAGCCGAGCCCTGGGATGTAAGCGACCGACCCCTGGGGGAGTCACACGGAGCGAGGGAAGCAGCCCACTCTGGGCCTTCAGGAGGGTTCGCGCGCGCCCTCGGGCCTCAGCGAAGTGGCCGGCGCCCGGCGCTCATCTGCACCCCGGCGGCCCGGGCTCCGGGGGGCGGGAACGGGCCGAGGTCCCGCCGGCCCGCCCCACTCCCGCCCCGCCCTGGCCGGGCGCTCGGGCTCCTCCGACGAGGGCTGCTCCGACTCGGCGGTCGCGGTCGCGGAGGTGAGTGCGGGCGGGGCGGGCTCGCTGCGGCTCCCGCTCCTGCCCATGCGGCTCTTCTCTCTGCGGCGCCTGTCCCCTCTGTGCCTCCCAAGGGAGGGTCGGCCGGCCGTCCCGTCGCGTCCCCCCCTCACCCTGCTCCCGATCCCCGTCCCTGAGCCCGCAGCCCGGCCCTCTCCCTCCACTCCCGCCCGCGTGCCACCTCCAGCTCGGCTGGTGCCAGGGCAGCCGGTACCTCCTGCCCCCCGTTCCCACCCGCTTCCCGCTCTTTCCTCTTTGTCTCCTTTCTCTTCTGGGTGTGCGGAGCTAGCGGGGCTTGGGGGCGCATGTGCGGGAAGGAAAGGCCGGCGCAGCCGTGGGTTCAGTCTCCGGGCTGGCACGAGCCCTGGTCCCCGGCTCCAGATGCGGGAGGAGGCCAGTGCCCCGGGTGTCCTCGCCCTGGGGTGGCTGCCCTAGCCTTGGCCTGAAGGCGCACACCCAGACCCCGTCGGGAGCCCGCTTGCCATCTGCACCTGGCTGGATGAGACAGCGCGGCTCCTGGAAAGGCGTTTATGTAGAGTGTTTAAGAAACACTCTTTTAGAGCCTACTCATTTCAAGGACTGAATAGGTTTGTGAGAGGGACGGATGTCCTAGGATCGCTGCACTCAAGAGACAGACAGAGGGCCAAGTCAGTGGAATCAAAGAATTGCCCTGAGGTCAGAGAAGCAGTTGAATAAATGCAGAATAAATTAATCACATTCAAAATCCCCCACCAACGGGCCTTCGGGAGGGTCCGGGAGAAGTTGAGCCTGGCAATTTGAGAGATCTGAGAAACACTGCCCAAGCTCCCAGCTGCTGTCCCTCGGCTCGCCTGCTGTAACAGGAAGTTTTCCACTTTCCAGAAGTGCTTTTCTTTTTCCGTTTGAACCCTCAAGGGGACCAGAGGGTTCCTCTCCGTTCTTAATCAGTCTCTTCTGTTATCCATTCCACTTCCCAAATGCCTCACCCTAACTCCCTCCCTTTACAAGCTCATGCCTGTCTTATGACCATCATTTGTTTTTCATTTCACATACTGACTGTACTTTAGAAAGAAATGACAGAGTTCCTTGTCTTTAACTGACTTACAAAAATGAACTCAGGTACTGGGCTGTAAGCACTGGAAAATATCAAAAGAGGACACCTCTGTTTAGTTTAGTAGACTCAACTTCACTTTGTTATTTAGAAAACTGAAAATCAAAATGTGTTGAAGTTGTTAACTATGAAACAAGTTTTGCATTGTCTCATTTCCCTGGTTGGTGTGGGAATACCGTGTTCCATAACTATGATTTTTCCTTCCGTTGTAATTGATTACCCTTTGGAACACACTGTCTTACACTGCAAAAGGAATCATATGTAGCCCAAGTTAAAAAAAAAAAAACAATGCTGGGGAGTCAACAGAGCAGTGTGGTCAAGGGCTCAGGCTTGGGAGGCAGGTGGATCTTAGTTGGAACCAGGCTTAGCACTAATTCTCTGTGATGTTCAATGCCCTCCAGCACACCTGTGGGTGTGCACTAGCGCTGAACAAGCTGGGTTTTGTTGCTTATTGCGATGCAGGAGCTCCCACACTATGGGGAAATCGGGGTTATCTAAGTAAGCAGGTGTTAGAAAGCAGTTACAGGATTTGGGCTTGTAGGTGATTTGGGAGAGAGTTTAAGGAAACAGGACTTTGCTCTGGTTTGGATGCTGTCAGAAGTGGGGGAAGTTCTACTGAGTATCCTCCCAGATCTTATTAAAAAGGAGGAAAGTCTAGAGTGAGGCCAAAGCTGTGGTTGGCCAAGAAGCAGCAGGCACTCACTGGCTCGGATTGCTGGTGGGTGGATGGAGGTGGTAGTTGGTCATTTCTGTGGTTTGGACAATGTTCATATTTTGTCTGTGGTCAGACACATTTAACAGAGGTCTTGTTTTTGTCTTATCTCTCGTGGTCACAGTGTGGCCTTGCTTGATGTTGAGTTCTCTGACACTGTTCATGCTCAGCAGGATGACTCCAGTGCAGTCCCTGGCAGCACCAAGGCCGGCTGATAGTACCAGGCCAGCTCCCTGGTGTCTGGGCTGCTGCTTTCTGTCTTTGATCTTGGGCAAGTTACTCAACACTCAACAGCTTTGAAATGCAATTTCCACATCTGTAAAATGCGGACAAGGCCTACTCAGGGCGGCTGTGAAGATTACATGAGGAAATGTGGGGAAAAGACTTAGTCCAATGCCTATCACATGGCAGGCACTCAACAAACAGTTGTCCCTCTCTCTATCTAGTGACCAACCAGAGCTACTCGGGAGAAGAATCTTGAATTGGATATGAGGAATGAAGTCCTTTCCAACTCAAAGATTTGATAATTCCATCACTCCAAATCAGTCTTAAGAATGGATACTGATACAGTCTTAAGGATGATTACAGATCTTCTCAAGCAATCATTCCCCTGTCAATTATTTTCAGATTCTCTTCTCCCAGGAGCCAGTGTTCCCTGATGGCCACGTGTTTTTCTGACTTTGTGCTGTTGGCTTGCTTGCTTGGTCTCTTCCCTCAAGATCTCTGTCCAAGAGTCTGATTCAAGCTTACATGTCCTTAGCATGTTCGCTCTAGCTCTCTGAGTTCTAATTTGCTTTGAGCCATAAGCAGGTGAGTGGAGACTGCTTGCTAATAGAATTCTTAAAGCCCTGTGTGAGAGCCAGCATCCGTGGTAACAGCTGTGAAATGCAGGGGGATTTTAGGCCATGAACAGTTTGAGGTAGGTCTCTCAGGAGGCCATTTTAGTCCACTTCCAGGTTACAGCATGCTGAAAATCTGAAGTCTGACTTCTGGTTAATTGAGACATTATTGTGATTGTGTCAGGAACTTAGGTTTTAAATCCTTCAGCTGGTCCAGGGCATATCATTTAATCTTTCCTGGCTAGATAGTTACTTAAAGTGTTTGAGAATGGTATGGCAGCTTATTTTCTCCCACTACTATGCAATAAACTATTGTATTAAATTTCTAGCCTGTATTTTGGCTTATCTCTTTGTTATACCAAAAGTTCCTAGGAATGAAGGAAAAAATAAGCAAGTGGGCCAAGGACACAAACACTTAAGAAAAAGTAATACAAAAAATCTTTAAACAAAAGATGCTTGATTTCATTTATATTAAAATAACATAACCTAAAACTCTACTCTGAGATACCATTTCTCACCTATGAGACAGAAATACAGAAGTTTGATACACTCTGTTGCTCAGATTGAAGCTTTCATGCCTTATGGGTGAGACTGCAAAATGGCACAATCCCTAAAATTATAGATGCATTTACCCATTGATCTAGGTATTCCTCTTCTAGAAATCTCCCTTTGGGTACTCTTGCCCACGTGTGGAGAAAATGAAAGTTCCATCGGCCAGGATTCTCACCTGACCCTGGTTGGCTAGTTCACTGCCCACGTGTGGGCAGTATGTTATTATTGACTCTATATAAAGAGTTCTCCCCAGTGCTTTGGGCTGCACGGCTGCAAGAGAGCAGAAACTGGAGTGGTGGCAGTGCCAAGGACAGAGACTGAGACAGCTGCGGGGGCAGAGAGGCCCGGAGGCAGGGACCGGCTTGCTGCATGCAGACTTGCTCTGAGGAGGACAGGATTCTAGTGATTGACCTGCCACTATGGGAATGAAGTTGGGTATAACTCCTTTCACCCTAAGAACATTCCATTGTTATTTTTCAGTCGTATTGAATCAAGAGTGTGCTTGCCTAGGGCTGAAACCCCCTGGCAAGATGCCACATATAAAGAAGACATGCACTCAGGAGTATTTTGTGATTTTGTGTAGCATTTTTATAATAAACATTTTTTAGAAATAACCCAAGTGATCAGTAATACAAGGCAGGTTAAATAAACAATGGTACATCCACATGACGGAGTATTATGCAGCTTTAAGGAAGAAGGTACTAGCATGGAAAAGTTCTCCAGGATATGTTGTTACATGACAAAAAGCAAGTGTGCAGACTCCTTTGGACTTCTGTTTGTATAAAGACACATGAAGGTAATATACCGAAAGGGGAGATAGGACCTGGCTAGGAATGGGATTTCTCAGCATCTCAGTGTGTGTGTGTGTGTGTGTGTGTGTGTGTATATACATACATATATATATACATATGTGTAAAAAATAAATTCAACAAAATAAGGTCTCCTCGATGACCTGTAGGGATTCACCTGCTTCTCCAAGAGAAGAACCACAGCAGACTCTGCCTTTATATAAAAAATAAAGCTATGTAAAAAATATATATGTATGTATCTATATATTTTTTACAAAGCTTAGATATTTGAGCTATGTAAATGTATTATGTATTCAAATATAATAATAAAAAAGAAATCTCTAACTTCTTAAGGAGAATATTCTCAGTTTCTTGATTGAAGAAGCCTGATTCCATTAAAAAACCTACAAAGCAATAGCTACTTCCATGAACTCTTCCTGAAGCAACTTACTCTGTCCAGAAAGACAGAAAATTGGACATTTAATAGTAAGTGAAAAAATTAAAAATTAATTTAGGAGTTCCCTTTATTCATCTACTTAATCCCTCTGGGAAGATTGGTGTCATTACTAAGGCTTTGCCACACACAACAGATAGGTTTTGTTTTGTTTTTTAATGGCAAGCCTGATTTGGCTTCTTCAGACCCCTGTTTGATCTGCAGGCAAGTTGGTGAACTCTTTCAGGTTATTCCAGAAAAGAACGGAAACCATAAAAATAAGGATCCTGACACCTATGGTAAACTGAGGCAGAGTCTGCTGTGGTTCTTCTCTTGGAGAAGCAGGTGAATTTCTACAGGTTATCAAGGAGACCTTATTTTTTTTTTTGAGAGGGCATCTCTCATATTGATCAAATGGTTGTTAACAACAATAAAATTCTATATAGGGGACTCAATGTACAATCATTAATCAACCCAAAGCCTAATTCTCAACAGTCTCCAATCTTCTGAAGCATAACAAACAAGTTCTTACATGGTGAACAAGGTCTTACATAGTGAATAAGTTCTT